AATAGGAGAATAAATAGGTTATTTCAACCATTGTAAATCAGAGCATCATATCATATCCTTAGAGCTGAAGAAGATCTCACAGGAAACCCAGTCCAGCCCTTTCATTTGAGATGTTGATGTTTGTGAAGGATACCCCAGGTGTTTGTGAGCCCATGGGAGAGGACTGATAAGATGGGAGAGAACACATAGAGCAGAAGTGTCAAACCCACTGCTGCTACCTGTAGCCGAACATTGCAGAGTGCTGTGGGGACAAGATTAAAATGTAATGGGGAAGCATTTAACAAAATAAATAAAAATATAATAAAACAGATAATATTACACTTTAAAACTACTATGCCACCACAAGGATTCCTATGTATGGATTATTTGGTCCTGTTTATGTTTGTTTCACACTATTGATGGTTGAGCTTTTTCCTGAGCTTGGGGTGGGGGGGATGTGTGTGGGGAAGAAAACAAGCATTTGTTTAGCATCTACTTACTATATCCTTAGCACTGTACTCAGTGGCTTACAGATATTATTTCATTTGACCTTCAAGACAAATCTCGGGGTAGGGGTTATTATTATCCCCTTTTAAACGTTGAGAAAACTGAGGCAGACAAAAGTAAATTGATTTGCCCTGGGGTCATAATAACTATTAAATGACCAATTTGAATTTAAATTTGAATTCTGGTGATCCAGACTAATGCTCTCATCACTGTGATACCTAGCTTCTTCTAGACCATTTCCTGTCTACTGAGAGACAGGAAGTATTGGAGAGGCATAACTGCCATTGGGTGACTGTGGGTCAAGGATAAGGGGCCAGTCTGAAAGTAAAGAGATTGATTAGCGAGCTAAGGAATCTATTGTTATTGCTAGCAAATTCATATTCCTGGCATTCAGATTGGGTTTGTATAACCTTTCAGGTTGTCTTTGAGCACACAGCCAATCAGCATCATTCTGCTGCAATTTAGGCTAGAGAAGTAAAGCATTTCCCAGGAGAGGGAGGGGTAGACAACAAGGGGGATCAGTGAAGGGAGAAAGACGAGTGTTTGGAATGTGAGTTACGTGATTTATTATCAGAGTGAGAAAACATCCCTTGTTGAAAGGCAGGAGACAAGGGGAAAAGAGTAAGTTCTTTTAGAATTGTGAAAACAGACCTTTTAGACAAAGCTACAGAGTCTCTTATACAAGAACTGCAAAATCATTTTCACAGCAGGGGATGAGACTATCCACTTTACTATGTCTTTACAAAACCTTTGGAGACTTTCTAATATTAGGCTGTCAGGGGTTGGGGCATTTCACCAAAATAATTGTGGTTCCTATTTTTCCCCTACAGAAGTATGAATCTTGTGAAGTCATTATTGGTCAACAGAGTTCTTCAGTCTCTCAAAGTTGCTTTTCATTTCTTTTACTTTATTCTCTATATAAATTGTCCTCTTTCTGTTTATTTCACTCTGAATCATTTCATAGAAATTTTTCAAGCTTTCTCTAAATATCATTCATCATTTTTTATTGCTCAATAATATTCCATTTCATTCATATGCCACAAGTTGTTTGGTCATTCCCCTTCTGATGAGCAACTACTTTGTTTCCAATCCTTTGCTACAACAAAGTGTGAGTTATATAGCTTTTTCAAGAAGTTTGTGAGTGAAGAGAATCAGATAAGGAGGATGACAGCTGTATGGGCTAAAAGGACCGCTTCTTTTTGAGAAATATGATAAGTGTTTTATTGGTAGATGTGCAGAAGCCAGTAGGAGTTGATTAGAAATATGAGAGAGAAAGTGGATGATTTCCAGAACCAAGTCCAGAAAGAAGTAGGGAGAGATGAGAAGTAGAAATTGATTTTATCAAGCAGTAGAGATATCTACTAAGTTGTACAAAAGAAGGAAGAGAGAATAATGGATGATCCTGAGAAAGGCTGGAAAGTAGAAGGGAGTTGCAGGAACTCTTGGATGTTCTTAAACTCAGTGAAGTAAAATTCTAAAGTTGTCTCTTGTCAATGTTGGATGTTGCTTGAGAAGAGAAGAAAAGATTTGAACCAAATAACTGAGGAGAATAAAATAGGAAGTCAATAAGAATCATTGGTTTAGAGCTGTAAGGTACCTAAGAAGTCATATTCTGTGTCCAAGAAATGAATGAAGTCTGAACCCCTCAGACTTCTAAATCTAACCCCATCTATAGAATTTAATCCCTCTCATTTTATAGATGTGGAAACTGAGGTTCACTAAAGTTAAGTGACTTGCCCGAGGTTGCACCGCCAGCAAGTGGCAGAACCTGGATTCAAATGCAGTTGCACTGACTCCTTGACCATGTTGTGCATTGTAGTAGCATTAAGCCATGTTAATTATTACAGAGGAGCATTTTTTGGTATAGTAGATAGAGAGCTGGCTACAAGCCCCACCTCTGACACATACTGTTTGTATGTATTAACCAAATCACTTACTGTTTCAGCAGCTGGATGGGCACTGTGGAATTCGTGGTTTGGGAGTTCAAATCTGGTCTCAGACACTTACTATCTTCCTTACCCTGGGAAAATCACTTAACCCTGTTTCCCTCAGTTGCCTCATCTATAGAATGAGCTGGAGATGGAAATAGTAAATTTCCCCTCCAATATCTTTGCCACGAAAACCCCAAATGGGGTCATAAACTGTTGTACATGAAATCATAGGTCTAATTCCTGTCTAATTCCTATCTGTGCACTTAATGATTCCATAACCAGGATGATCCTCTGCCTTTTTCTCCCAGTGATAAATACCAGGTTACTTAGAAGAGGAGGTGAGAAGTCAAATGAATCATCACAGATGGTTTTGATTTCTGAGGCCCAGAATCTCTTGTTTCAGTAGGAAAGTTTCCTTAAACTCTCTTTGTACAGGATTCTCCTGCTTAGCCTTATATTTAACCTTATTTTCTTCCCAATATGTATTCTTTGCTCTAGTCAAAGTAGTCATATCCCTGCTTCAAGAATACAGCTATGCCTTGCATGGTTCATGTCATTCTCTTCTCCTGTAATGCGCTCATCCTTTCTTCTATCTTTCCGAATCCAAGGCCATCAAGGCCTAACTCAGGCCCCACCTTCTACACCTACTACCAGTTGCTTTTCTTGCCTGATAATCTGGTAGCACTTGTAATCTATAACACGCAATTTAATATGTAATTAATTATGTGCTTATTTTGTATTGTCCCCTAATAGTTTCTTAGGTCAAGTAAATTATAAATTATGTAATTAGATTGCTAGGGGGTGGTCAGCTCTTTGGGTATTTTAGACTGAGGCTGATTGGATACCTATGCTTGTGGGGCAGGGCAGGGGGACAGGAGTCACCACAGCCCAAAATTTTGTCTTCACTGATACAGGTTCAGGAACTTGATTTTTTTTTTTAATTGTCTTTCACCAGGGGATTATCATCTTTTGAAATATTGATACAGACTAGCCAGACTGAAAAATAACCAGACTCCATAGCTTAGGATGCCACTTGGTTAATTTACTTTGATGCATAGATTCGATGACTAGAATAAACATCTGTTTTCCAGAGCTCCCCCTGGCTTCTCCCCTCCTCTTCCTTCCATCCCTATCCCATGCTTCTTCTCACCATACCCAGGTACTCGGGAAATTGAATTAGTTATCAGCACTTTATTTAAAATAGTTGAATAGAGAGAGCTAGGCAGCACAGTGGGATAGAATGTTTGAGTTCACATTTGGCCTTAGAAACTCACTAGCTTTGTTACCCTGGGCAAGTCACTCTTAACCCTTTTCACTTCTAGCTTCCTCATCTGCTTGTTGTGAGGACAAAATGAAATAATAGCTCTAACTTATTTTGTAAACATTAAAATTCTCTGTAAATATTATTTTAATTAACTCTAATAAATGGTGAGGCAAGGTATATTACACAGATGGTAATTAGAGTCTGAATTCTCCTTGTTTCATAATAGAGTTCATATATCTTGTGATAGGAATACTCAATGCAGGTATGGTGGTATACTCTTATGGATAGTATTAAATAAACATAGAAATCCATCTCTTTCTAATGTTATTTTTTTCAGTCTTTGTCTTCCATAACAACTTTAACTTTCATAATAACAGCATTGCTTCCTTAGGAGTACATTCACCATCCATTCATTTCATTCTTTCATTCAATACTATTTTTTTTATGTGCCTGGCCCTGGGGTTACAGAGATAAAAATGAAATAATGCCTGCCCTCAAGGAGTTTACCTTATTATATATGAAGTGGGGAAGAATGGAAAATACTTATACAGATAAGCAAATCAGTTACGGGGGGGGGGGGGGTGTGGGTGTGGCCCCTGGAGGGATCAAGATAGATGGCATGTAGGAGGTGGCCCTTGAACTGACCTTTGAAGGCATCAAGGAGTTTTTAGAGGAAGAGATAATGAGAGAGTATGTCCGTTCAAGGCATGAGCAACTTGTGTCAGTGCATTTATCAGGGAGATTCTATGTAGTATAGAGGAAACATCAAATAAGTGAGTTTTGACTATATAACCTGATTTTATAGTCTACATTTTTAAGTCATGGTTTTCAGAAAGGATTTTAGGTAGGATATCTTAGACACTTTGATGAGATTCGAGACATACCAAAATTTTATCGCCTACATTTACAAATTGCCTATTGAGGTTGATTGTTTTCTGAGATGACTTCTATAGTCTGCTCATTTGTTCTATTTCCAATAATTATTTTTAGGTTCATTTCAGAGAATGGCATTTTTTGTCCTTTCTCTCATATTTTTTGCCACCATATTTGAGTGGTAACCCTATATGTTATGATCTTTTGAAAGGGAAGGGAATTTTGAGATCATCAGTTTCAACCCTCAGATAAAGAGGGGAAAAATAAAACCCACCACAAAAACCTCGGGCATCAGCTTGAGAGAAAGGCAAACTGATTGCTCTTCTTCGATCATGAGGCCAGATGAAGTTTTATCCAAGGTAGTTGGAGAGTATATGTTTGTATATGCATTTTAATGCATGTTATTTTTAATGTCCTAATGTTGAATTAATATGTTTTCTTTTAAGCTCTTCTAAAAGCCTGTGCTGATGGAGGTGCTAACCAATTGTATCATGTCACTGAAGGAGAGCGGGAGAGGTATGTGGACTTTTAGAGTATTCGAATTTCATATATCATTCAGTATTCCGGTCTTTTCTTATGTCCCCCACTACCCTCCTTTGTCTACTATGAGGAAATCAGCTCTCTCAAAAACATCATCAATAGAGAAATCTTGAGCATTGTGAAGAACTGGTCATTCTTATTCCTTTACTCTGTTCTATTTATCAGCTACCTGTAATAAAAAAGTTAATGTTTTCTTTTCCTGCCTTAACCTCATAAAACACAAGTGTTTTCATGCATTGATACTTTTAAAGAGTATGCCCTAACTCTCCATGAATTTCTGTCCCGGGTTGGATGTTGGACCAGATGACCTCTAAGGTCTGTTCCAATACGAGATTTCTATGATTCCCTAAATTAGAACTCCAGATGGAGGTGTGAGATGTTATTAATGCAGTTAAAATGAATTAAAAATGAACACATGTAAATGAAATACATATTTTGCTATTTGAAGATGTGACATTTTTATACTCCTGCTGAGGAAAGCCCAGTATAATTTACTTAGACTTAATTACTTCTGAGTTATGCACTCATATATCTTTTAGGGGATAAATAGTTCATCCCTTAATGATTTGCTGTATATACTCTCTGGTTTCCTTAGTCTTTGCATGGTATGCTATTTTTAGTTGAAAGAATTACAGGCTGTGAGAAGGACAGGAATTGCTTTTAAATACAACTCATTGCTAGCATATTTGTGGTCTAACCCTTGACATGCACACATTCATTTATATTCTAGTTATAAACTGACTTACTGTTAAATGCAATTCCATTTCCACCATATTTACTATTGGAGAAATATTGCCATCTTCCAGAAGATAAAGCAGTTCAATGAAGAGTGAATCTCCATATTTGCTGGCAAAATAGTGTGACTGTATATAGGAGTGTTGGAGTGCGGATATTAGGATGCTCTGACATGAACTCTTTGTTTTCAGATTTAATAATTTTTTTATTTAGCATAAATTAAGCACTTGTCTAGATATAGTTTGAGTTTTAATTATGTGGATTGTCAATTTTAAAAAATTCAAATTCAATTTATAGACTAAAATTACATAAATCAGCATGTTCAAATTTTGAGCTGGCTTTTGAGTGAAGTGAATAGTTGGTTAAAACGTCATATCGGAATTGAAATTTAACAAAAGAGTAAACTGAGGCAAATCTCTGTGCAACATAATATTTATAAGCAGGGACATGCTACCTCTTAATAAATAGGGCAGTAGATTGCCTTCCTTTGTGCCAAAGACCCCGAACAGAAGGACAGTTCCCTTTATGTAGGTTTTGGAGAGTATAGAATGAAGAAAAGAACAGGGCAGATGACATGGAATTAAGGCCAACATGATTGGTTACAGAACTGAGGTGCAGGTAACAACATGATTGGTTAGAAATTTTGTAATGGGGACTAGCAAGAATTCTCCTTTTTCTTTCATGACACTAGGAAATGCTCATTGTTTGAGTCCAAGTGCAAGACAGCAGCCCAGACTTTTGGACCACATCCTTACAGAGTAGTTTGGTGAAGTAAAGATATCAGCTTCCTTTGTCTTAACACACATTCCCTAAGGTTAGCAAAATTCCTTAAGGCCAGAATAGATCAGTGATTAGCAGAAGACCTTTATTTTTGGAATTAACCCTTTACAGGCCAGCTAAATTCTGAACTAAATTCAGAGACAAAAGAACCATAACTTAAGCAGTTATAGGACAAAAACAGTTACAGGACAAAATCAATTCCTATTACTAGGCTCAACAAGAAAATGATACAGGATCAATCTCAATCTTCTCAGGATCTGGATTTTTGGGCTACTGCTTAAAATGTAGCAAAATAAGAGCTTTTGATGTTATGGAGTCCAGGGAAAGTTAAAAAAAAAAAGCTTAAATAGTTGATGGAATTTTGAGAATCTGATCAAGTAGTATTTAACACACACAAACACTATCAGCAATAGTATAGGAAGAATTGTAGAAGAAATGGCCAATAAGTAACAGGACACAAAAGGAAGACACAAGTAATAAAACTCATGATGCATTTATACAAATGATAGATGCATTTATACGAATGAATCCAAATATGGATAATAACCAAGTTGAACTAGAGATCTTAATGAAGATTTCAACCTTTAGATGTCATTGAAACTTGGTGTGATGGGACTTTAGCTGTCTTGGAGAGGATGCAGAGTTGTTGTAGGAAATATAGAAACCTGAGGTTGACATCATGGTGGAAAATATGTGGATTAACAATAGAAGTCAAGTGAAAAGGATGTGTTCAGTGAAGTAAACTACAGACCAACTGGAAAGGAGGAAGGATTAGATAAGGAGTTTGACAATAGAATACAAAACTTTGAGATATGATATAATGCTGATGTGGGACTTAAATCATTGCCTTCTGGAAATCTCTCTGTCTCTGTCTCTATCAAAAATAAAACAGCTAATACATTCTTGTTTTCCCTTCATGATAATTTCATCCTTTAAAAGATGAAGTAGCACAGGAAGAACTACTTTCAGTTGGGGAATGGCTGAACATGTTGTGGTATATGATTGAGATGGAATCCTACTGTGCTATAAGAAATGATGAAGTCAATGATCTTAGAAAAACATGGAAAGACTTGCACAAAATAATGAACAGTGAAATGCATAGAACCAAGCAAACGTTACATATTGTAACAGCAATATTGTTTTTAGATTGGACCTGATTCTAACCAATATATGGTAAATAGTTACTGGAATAGAAATGATTGGAACCTTAGTGGGATGTGACTACTCCATGTTAGGAATTAGTGATGGAGGAAAGGAAAGCCAAGCATAAATCATCCGACATGTAACCTAAATTTTATTTAGGGAAATTCTGGCAGGGGAAGTAATGCCAAAAGAGATGGAAACTTCTCTAGGATAAAGTTCTTCAGCAGATACCTAGTAAATGTAAATGTCTAAACAAATTGTTGTACGTGAATGTAATGGAAAATTACTGTGCTATAAGAAATGATGAACATGATGAATATGGAGAATCGTGGAAAAGACTTATTTAAACTGATGCAAAGTGAAGTAAGCGAAACCAGCAAAATAATTTACCCAGGGGCTACAACAATATAAATGGAAAGAACAAGTACCAGCAAATAATTAAAATTCAAAGATGCAAATTACATTAAACCAAGAAATATGAGAAGACACCTCCCACCCATTTTACATAGATGGGGGACCATGGATATTGAACACTGAATATATCATCAGGCTTTTGGTATATGTTGCCTTATTTTTATTCAACAGTGACAATTCTATCTTCTGTCTCAGGGACCTCTAACAGGCTCTCATACCCTGTGCTTGGAATGCTCTCCTCCCTCTCCCCTTTTAGATTCTTAAAATCCCTGGTTTCCTTTGAGGCTGTATTCAGGTGCCACTAGAGGAGGCCTTTCAGTACTGCCCAGGTTATTATTCATCTTTTATTTTGAAAGACAACCAATGATATTGTGGGGTGATATCTTGACTTGTGCATGAATTGGATTGAAGTGAGGTACAGTTGCACAAAGTTGGATCAGCCTTACCCTCTCTTCCAGCACCATCAATGTCAAGAGGCAAGACACTGGGCTTTGTGCATCTTTGATGTCTGACCAAGCTCTATGCACTCCATAGCAATTGCTTTAGCTGCCTTCGTGGCTGTTGGAACAAATTGTTCTTTTCCACACATTCCCCTACCTTCATATGCTTGGAGGAGACATCTGTCTAACTCACTTTGAGGCCTTTGAGGATTGATGCCTCCCAAGTTACTCCCCCAGTTACTAGTGTAGTGTTGCCTCTTAAAGGACTGGAAGGACTTCTTGTTTCGATTTTACATATTTTCCATTTATTTGCACATTGTTAACTCCCTGCCAGTTATGATTATCAGTAAAATGTAAGCTTCGTGAAGCAGGGACTCTTCGCTTTGTTGTTGTTTGCTTGTTTGTTTTATTTGTTGTTTCTGTATTCCCAGTACCTAGCACAAAGTCTTGCAAATAGTGGGTAATGAATGGTCGGCTTTATTGAATCTCTTTTGATTTTTCTGTTTCATCTCTTCCCTTAGGGATTCTTCTGCCTGTATTTTCTCTAAGACCTAATGCTGGGCCTCCTAAATTAGTTAGGGAGTAGAAACACAGGTGCATATCATTGTGAAAAATGTTTACACATTTATGGAAAGGCGTGTTGAGGCCAGTTGGCTCATTTAGTTGGAAGGTAGTGACAACAAAGCCCAAGATGTGAATTCTATCCTGTTTGGGCCAGCTAGCTTCACACAGGGAGAACATCTTTCCTTGGCCCACATACTTCAGTCTGGCAAGTAGGCTATCCTGCTGATGGTAGGTAAGTGAGATGTGGCAACATTATGTAATTCAATTTAATTAGAAATCATAATTAAATTTTTATTAATATATGTAACTTAATTTAAAAATTATTAACTACTGTCTGTAAAGAGCTGCTCTAGAGGTTGATGAGGATCTAACAGGGCATAGCAGATGCAAAAGGTTCAAAAGAAGACTTAAGGTGAAATTAGTCTTGAAAATCTTATTCTGAAGTGTTTCTCTTGGCATCATTGGTTAAAAAGTAACTGAATAAATCAAAATGAAAACTACTGGTGTCAAGGTAACAGAATTGAGAGGCTTCCTGGTTCCACCTGCACACATGGCACCTGAAATCTGCTCATAATGGTTTCTGGATACTTCCTTAGCCATTTACAAATGAATTAAACCATTTACCTTCGGATGACACACCTAGTATTTATTCCTATTTCAGGCCTGAATTTCCCCTCAAAATCAGAGATTTAGCATAGGTGAAATATGTAGTTGTGCACTAGGGAAAGGAAGTTGGGCCAGAGGTTCAGAAAATACATTGCCACAATTGAAAGTAGATTTCCAACTGTTTATCATATTTTATTTTAAGATGCAGGTGCAAACAGATCTTAGAGTAGTTGAAAAACATTACCTATTCAAACATTGATGTACATAGTGCCATGTTCTGATTGGCTGTATAAT